TCAATTTTAGCATCAGAAGTTTGGAGAGTGCCAAATTGTCATCATCAACTAAGTGCTTGCTGTGTGTCAGGTGCTATTCCAAGGACTTCCTGCTGAGCAGCTCTTGAGCCATCACAATAGCCCTTGAAAGGGAACGGTTATCCCCACTTTGTCAGTGAGGAAGCAGACGGACATTGACAACTTGCCCAAGACCGGAAATAATGGAGCCAGGGATTTGGCTTTAAAGTTACTGATATCACCTGCTACATTATCATGCTTCATTTTATTGGTTTTCATATTGCTTTACTTTATAATACCTTTAGCTAACAACTAGCAGGTATACTACAAGCATTAGCAACTATTTGCAAAATTATTTATGTTAGTAGTCTAAAATTACAATCAGAATGTCTAGAATCACAACCAAGATGTCTTGAGAAAGATTTGTGATTCTCTGGTGTGAAAATATTTTTTTAATGGAAATATGGTTGTTTAAGGTAACCCAGTCTAATATGTGTGTGATAAAACATTATTTTTGGTTAATTCTTTTGATATCATTTCCTATAAAATATGCATTGTTATATTTTCAAATAAAACTGACAAACTGTGCCCTCATAACTGCACTGAAATTAGGAGACTATCAAAGAGAAATATTTATCTTTAAGCAAAAAAAAAATAGGCTTGTCAATTTCCCTGATTACAGAGGATTAAGAGTATAGGGACTGAGTAAAATTTGACCTTGGATGGAAAGATGATTTTGGGAAGTCTGACTCATTTTGGAGACAGCTTAAAGATAGAGACCAAAGCATGGCTTTCCATACTGATTGGTGGAAAAAATTTAGGTGGATTCCATACACACTGCCACATATATGTTGTACATTTATGACTCCTCTTTATCACAAATGACACATTTTTATGCAGTAGAAATATGTAATAAGCACTATTAAAACAGTAATGTATGTTGAATTATATACATAGATATAATTAAATCATAGTATATATCTGTGATTTCAGACCTTACAGCAGTCTTTATGGAATTTCAATTGAAGGCTAAGGACTGAGATGTTCTCTTTAAAATGCTCCTTATAGGAGAAATTTTATTTCACGTGTATTCGGTGTACATGTGCCATAGCCTGTATAAGCATCCGGTGTCTCTGAGGAATGGTGTATATGCACAGTGACTGCCAAAGCGACCGGACAGTCAGATGACTTGGTGGCTATGATTTAGGAAGAGCCTGCTGGCGGGACTCAGAGGAGGGGCAGAGCCCTTCCTCACGAAGGCCCTGAAATGACATCGACTCCACGTACACGTGGGGCAAGTGGAGGTGGCTGAGTTCAGAGGCCGGGATGCTTTCCTCCCCATATCTTTTCATTTTGACAAATTTTAAACTAAATTATTCTCTTTATTCTCCTTTATTTATGTTATTCGCCACCAATGAATATTGCTTGTTTTATTAAATCTTTTGTTTTGCTGCAATGACTTGAGGGGGCCAGCTCCTAACAACAGAGGCTTTGACAAAGCACCAGAGGATTCTGTTAAAAAGTTGTGTTTCGTAATTGTAGTTGTCGTGTCAGAGCCTGACTGACTTGGAGCTGAAGGATTTTTGTGAGATGAGTAGCTGTGCCAGCAGGGACCCAAGTCTCCTGGGCTGGCCGCGCTCTCATTAAGATTTGCCGCTAGCAGTGGCGGTGTTCAGCATGTATGTGACGTGCATTCTGTTATTGTATGCTTGGCTTGTCAGCCTGCAGCTTTCTGACACTCACTTATGTCACTCTTTATTCAGAGAGGAAGAAGCTTTTGATAATTTGACAAGACAAGCTCTTAAACGATCTAGGTCATGGCCTTCACTGTCTGTGATTGTGAACATATTTCCTGAAAGCCCTGTCACTCATCACAGCTACATTTTCTCCCGGGGAGCCACAGGCCTGTCCCGGTCTCTTGTCAGCTCATACATTTTGGTTATTCATATACCAAATACAGTACTGGGTTTTTTTTTTTCCTTCCCTTTTGCAAATGCTAGCATGTTAGTAAGGCTAATCCTTTCTCCTGTGCTGTGTTCCCAGCAGGGCTGCGTTCAAGGGCTCTCTCTAGTACAAGGCAGACAACTGGCCAAGGGGAGCTGAGGAGGAGGAAAGGCCGCTTAGTGCTGTTTTTGTGTTTGTTCATTGTTGTGGAAATATGAGAACTGGTGGCAAGGGCCTTGTCTATTGAGCACTTGAGCCTTGGTCTGCTGTCAGGGGCTGTTTAAGATTGAGTGTTTTATTTTCTTTGATGTTCACATTTGAGAATAGGGAAGTGGGAATTAAACAACAGATGCACTAAGCCGTTGTTCTGGTAAAACAATAATTAGCACCTGATAAAATTCAATATGGGTCGAAATGCACAGCATAAACTCTCAATTCATCTGGTGTGGCAAACTGTGTTGATTCATCTTTGAAATTTATGAATAATAACACTCAGTTATTCGTGTATGGTTTATTATACAAAATACAATGGGAGGGAAACTAGTTGGGCAAAAGTTGGCAAACAATGTAGCGCATTGCTAAAACAGATGTACAAGTGCGCTTTGTGTGTTTTCAGTGGGGAGACTCGAGGGGCCCTTCGGATTGCCCTCCATCTAGTGCCGTGCGGTGAGGTCACCGGGACAGCCAGTGACACAGTTCCGTTTTAACAGCTTGTGACAGTTTTGTCTTAGATGAGTTCCACAGCAGACTGGTCATTCTTTTTAAATTTTTTAAAATAATTTTTAAAGCTTTGGTTATAAAGGTAATCCTCTTGCTATAGATGTTACTATGGCTATTTGATTTAAAAAAGAGAGAAAAATATGTGCAGTGACTAAGGAGTAGTAAAATGAAATAGAAGCCACAACAATAAAAAAAGTAACATTTTAAAAGTTCATTACTGATACAGTTCGATGTCATATTTGCAAATAAAGATGTGCACTTGATATTGGCACCTATTTTGAGGTGGGAAATATTTCTTCTTTTTAACTTTACATAGAAATAGGTTATATAGAAAAGAGCAAAATGAAACTCTGCATGGGAATGTTGGGTAAAAGTACTTATGAGTTAGTCAAGTAGGGTTTTTTAAATTGTAATACTATTGTCTAATAAGAGAGAAGAAGTTTCATGTCTCTCACTACTAGTTTTTATATTAGCCATCATCTTCATGTACAGAGCAATCAGATGATTGTTCAAAAACCAAGCAATTCTTTCCTTTATTACTGAATTGCTGCCACACAAATAAAGGTCACATGGCGGAGTGGCAGCCTGCCAGTGTATGGCAACTCAGTGATTGCGATTTTTCAACCGTATTATTCTGAGGATACTGTGGTAATCAAGAACTACCCATAACTAATGTATAAATAACTGCTTGCTTATCTCTACAGTAATCCCACTGAAATTATATATACACAGAAAAAGCTTATGATAGAAGGTAGGGAATGAATACTTCAAGAAATACTGTACATTGGGTATTTGTATGCAAGTGTTTATAAAAATAGTTATTTTTATATATCCTTAAGAACTTCTGTAACCTACTGGTTTGTGGCTGTTATTTGCTACCTCCCGTGATCTTTGCCTTCTGAGGCTACTTTCTGTTTTTTACAAACTAGTTTTCCTTTGATCAGTGCTGTTCCTCCTGCAACCTCTGTGTGTAAGTGACTGAATTGAGTCAGACACTTTACATGAATATGACATTTAAATTGGAAAGCTGACCACTAAATAGTCTAATTTCCACACCTGTCTTCAGATAATTGCATAGGATAGTTAAGCTTAAAAAGCATAATGTATAAAATATTCAGCATATTTGGGTCATATATACTCTTTTGTTGAATCACTTATGATGGTATAATCAGAAATTTGCTGTTAAAAGTTATTTTCTGAATTGTTACCACACCTATAATATTTTTAAATGATATAAATTAGATTTGTTAGTTTTATCACTACCCTGAAAAACAAAGGAGGCAGGGATGACTGATTGGGTAAAGAATTGTTTCAAAGTGCATGTGAAAGATTATAAGGATTTTTAAAAGGCTTAAGTCATTCTAATTTTTGGCATGCATATGTGTATGTATATACACATTTTTACACAAAAGCTATAAATTCACATTTACTTAAAGTATTGCCACTTGGTAGTTTAATTTATTAAAACCATTACTATAATATAGTTGTTATTTAAAAAAATTATGTTCTGTCATCAACTATTCATAAAGAACTTGGTTAGGAAGAGTGTCTCTCCTTAACAGAATCATAATTCAGGTACAAGGAAAGAAGATTTATAAATGTATCCATAAGAAAATAATCCCCTAAGTGGTTTTATTGTTGATACTGCTGTTGTTTTCTGTTTTGTTTTTAACTATTCTGGTTTCAGTAAATCCATCTGTTACAAAATTATTGAAGTTTCATTGGGTTTTTTAAGTTGTGTCTATAAATGTAAAGATGGAGGAGACTAGACTTTTAAGGGAAAAGACATGGACTTTAGATTCTTGAGGTTTTGTTTTGTTTTAATTCTCTTTTTACCCTATTTCACAGAGGAGTGAAGGTTAGAAAGTGATTAGGTAAAAGATGGCAACAGACATCAGAAACACATAACCACAGCGAAGTCTTCTTAAAAGCTGTTGCTATTAAAGTGTTCTCTATCATACTACCCAAGTTCAAAATGTCCTTTTAAAAGGTGCACTTGGTGAGTCTTACTGATTTGGACTACTGCTGTTCATTTATCAGTTTAACTGAGTTATGGCTCTTAATCACATCTTAGTGCCCAAAACTTCTAACCCAAAAAGAAAAAGAGAGAGAGGAAACTTTGTTACTGGCTTTCTGACAATGGCAGGGAGTGTGTTAAACCAGTGTAAAATTCAATTAAACTGTCTAGCCAGGTTTTTGAAGCTGAAATGCAGACCCTTTCTGTTAAGCTTCTTATTTTCCTGTGACCGACACCAGTGGATGCTGGGTTATGCCAAAACCAACAGGCTGTAAAGTACCTTGTTTCATGCTCCCAGCTGATCAATATTTTTATTTTCCAGGCTTGCCCAGAAATCTGGAGGCAGTATCACCTAACGGTGAGTAGAAACACCTTTTTTATTTTCCCCAAGACCTAGCCTATTTACCCTTCTCTGAACTGCTGACCATAAAATACAGACAAGCATCTTCCACTGGAAGATAATCAACGTCTGAAGAGTTTCTGCACTGAAACAGCAATAATACACTTTTTCTCTCCTCCCCTGCCCACTACTCTGTCCTTTATCTCCTGTTCCTAAAAGATGTGGATTGTTTTTTATTACTCACATCATGTAATGATTACCTCATGGTGTCTCTCAGTCTTCCTGAACTAGATTCATTAAATCAAAGAGGGAAAGTTATGATAGGAGCCATAAAAAATAATAGTAATCCAGTGTCTAATATGTTGTATTTTATCTACAGTCCATAAGCATGCAGTCCTCCTTACCTTCCACTGTCAGTTTTCTGGCTTTACTGAAATAGGTACATCTATTTTTTAATCAAGCTAGACAAAGCTTAGTGTATCTTTCCTGTAGGACAATGCACGTGTCATATCCTTAAGCCCTTCTTGGCTTATTCAACGTGTATAAATATCTGCTTAATACCATTCAAGTTATTCAATTCTCTGCTTTCCTTTTATTGTGGTGTTAGGCTAAGAAGAAGCAGAAAACATAGTTTGTTATGGAGTCAGTTGACTAATGCCCAATATTATGAGATGAGTTTATTTCTAATATTCAGCGTAAGTAATTTTGATAATTCACCGCAGCCCTACTAGTCATTTCTTTTAATGTGTTAAATGTATTGTGCTGAGCAAGAGACACTAGAAATTACTCTTGTAGTTATACAAACTATGTGAAAGCTGTTTTCTTAAACTGTAATGTATTGAAAAGTTTTCTTTATGGAAAACAAGTAGTAAAAATAGAAAGTGCAAAGTTTTGACCAGATATGTCTTCTTATTGCTCCTTTTTTGGGGGAATAAAAGGTAAACCAGTAAGGAGACGCGTACTGCCAGCATGTCTGCCACAGGTCCAAGAAGCAAGGAATAGTATCAAGTGCTTTGTTTCCACGTTCTGTTATCACTGTTTAATTTATTTAAAGATTCTTAGTGAAAGTTGTCATTCCTCAACTGTCTCTTAATTCCAAATTGGGTTTTCTTAAAATCTTTAGTGTAAAACCCCCCCAAAAATATATATACACACACACACCCAAATATGTTACATATTTTAAAGATGTAACTTCCATGACTACATTATATCTGTGCTTATGTGTAAACTTGTTTACCCTTACATGTTGTGGTTGAAATCCTTACAGCCTAAACTTGATTGGAATCCAATCATATATTATACTTACAAGATCGCCGTCTCTCTGTGTAGCATTTTTTGTCGGAGTGTCATTAAGTACATTAAGTAATAAACAGCCTAATGGATTTGACAGTGCATTTCTTTTCCCTAAATTAGAGAGTCCCAACCTTGAAAACTTGAAGTGCCTGCAGTACTGTTTTCCAAGGCACTCCTTTCAGTGTCTGCACCGTGTTCTTCTATATAACTCTCACAGAAGACTAGAAACTGCCATCTAGGATAACAGAAATAGTTGAAGGTTTGTTTAATATTATAGCTTTAAGAAAATAAATTGTAAAAAGAATAAGAAAAATTAATGAAACGAAATCAATTAACCTGGAGGGAATTACAGTACCTTCTATCTGTAGGTACAACGAAATCATTTTGCAAATCCATTTGTCTCAATCTAGAATCCTGATTAATTTTCAAAGTAATATTGTAGCAACTATCACCATTCATAATTATCACGTTTAAATTAATAACTAGGAATAGCTTACAAATATAAATGCCAAATTTGTATATCTATAAATATATGCACAAATATGTCAATTCAGGTAAAATAAAATAAATAATTATGTACGGAGGCAGTACCCAGATGTTTGCAATTATGCAGTGTTTAATTCTGAGTGGAAGCAGAGCGCACCGAGGCTGTCTCCAGCTCCTTACCAGGCGGTGGACTGCCATCTATTGACGCGTGGAAGCCCTCGCAGGTGCAGTGGCATCAGTCAGAGGGAGCGGTGGCCGAGTGACGAAGCCTAGGTTGGAACTGCTGCTGTGTCTTGATTTAAACCAGTCTTCTGAAAACTCTGGAAATGTTACACTTAATCATGGGTTAATTTCTTTTTCTAATCAAAGAGTGTCCAATTCTTACCCAAAATGAACTGTGCTTTTGGCACGGGGGTTGGGAGGTTGATTCGTATATTCCGTTTGGAAGTGTTTATTTACATTTGGGAACTTCTCCATTGCTTTTATCTGCCTTCCAGTCAGGAACACTAGAAAGACATTTACACAAGCAATAGTATAGCAATTTTCAGGTCTATCCAGGAATCACTTTTGTTAAAAATTAAAAATAAAACTGAAATTAAAAAGCCTATAGTTAAACAGTACTGTTTTTCAAACACATAAGAAAGGTGGTGCAGTTGATTGGTGCAAGTGGACTGGTGAAATGTACCAAATCAAAAATTTCTTAAAACACATTCTAAAGAAAGAGATGTGTTCACTATTCTCAGCAATTTTGTGAGAGCTCAAATAAAGCCTCCTGAACAATTGATATCTGAATAGAATAGGTTTTTAACCAGCTTGACTAGACTTCACTACATTAATAAAGAATAAGACCATTATTCTAATGGGTACATGCTAATAAAATTCTAAAACACTACCTATGTTTCTATATAGATAGAGTACATATATGCTATTTGGCTACGTCACTTTTCTTGATATATTTTAATAGCTATAAAATTGCCATATAATTAATTAATGACTTTAGATTATCATTTTTGGAGACCTGCATGGAAAAAAGAAAAAAATAAGATTTTTATTTAACAATTAAATAATTTTCTCAAATAGTTTATGTATTTACCTCCTTCAAAATGTTCAGAAAGTTTTTTAAATCTTCAGCACTGTTCTTGTATTTTAATTTGTTATATTTTCAAATTTTGGTTAACGTCTGACTTTGAATGTTCTTTTTCATCTTTCAGATAACTTATTCTAGATAAAAATTTTCCCTCTTTAACTATTCAAGAAGGAAAGTCCCTTCCCCCACCCCCTGTCACTTCTAGTCTCATTTATATTAAAAATCCTAGGCCAAAATGGCCACCAACAGAGTGTTACAACCAACAGGATTTTTAACTAGTAGAGGCGATAATTTGACATGCTTTGGACATTTTGTTAATCTTGATTTTAATCTACTTAAAAAAGTAACTAGGAGTTTGCTCTTTGGGGGCTGTATGTGTGAAGAACCAAAAAGGATAATACATCTTTTATGTGTAATTTTGCCCCTGGATTTCTTTGTGTACATTGTTAAAATGTGTTACAATCTTGCTACCTTTTATTTTAACTTCAAAGTTTAAGCAGAAAGCAAATGTAACCTTTTGGGAAGAATTACCTTTTGAATATTTCTTTATATCTAATCTTTGGAATGCCTAGAATTCATACTTCAAAAAGTAAAATACTTGCTGTCAGGAAAATGGGGAGTGAAGTTTCCTTCTTGTTTTCTAGTCTAGAAAAGGCTTGTGACCGACCAGGGGTTAACAGTAGTCTTACCTGAACTAGTTGAACGCCAGAATGTATCTTACGGACCAAAAGAAAGGAATAAGAAAATGGAATTTGATTGTGAGGCTGTGGCTATACAGAAGTCTTTATCCTGCAGTTGTGATGTAAGAGAGAGTAATTGTTCTCTAGTTGCCTAATACTAAAATGTGGTTTTTTTGTAAATTAAAATGTGAAATAGAGTTTCAAAAAGTCATCCTCAAGCCAGAATTTTTTCTTTTTGTGGAAAAAAGAAAACCCTCTTTTAATTGGATATATGTTGGGAGTCTTAAATCTCTTTCTGAGAGCTCCTTGGCTACATAAGCAGTTCTGCAGAACCCACAGGAACCCCTCTACATGGTGGATATCGAGTGATAGGTGTCACGGTGTGCAAGAAAACAGAACTCATTACAAACTATATTTTAAACTATTAAATAATTCCAAAATAGAGTGAGAAGTAGGCCTCACTCTATTTTGGAATTTAAATCAACTTTTTTTTTAATTTAAAGAAAATTTTTTAGAGATTTTATTTATTTTTAGAGAGACGGGAAGGGAGGGAGAAAGAAAGACAGAGAACCATCCATGTGTGAGAGATACATTGACCCGTTGCCCCTCACACGCCCCCAACTGGGGACCTGGCCCACAACCCAGACATGTGCCCTGACCAGGCATCTAACCTGTGACCTTTGAGTTCGCAGATTAGCACTCAATCCACTGAGCCACCCAGGGCTAAATCAACTTTTTCTTTGTACAGCTTTTTGACTGGCTTACAAATTATCCTAAAGTAACACTTTCATAAATTCATTTCTTTTGGTAGTTCGCTTCACTGCCAACTTCCTCAAGACCCAGGAGTACTTTTGTTTACATTGTAGGTTTCTTTAGTCTGTATCAGACATGACTACTTCACTGTTTGGATTAGTTAAGTGTTGCCTTTGAGATGTTGCATCTCTGTCAAATTTTCAAAGATTCATTTTTCGTTAAAAATGCCCATAGTACTAAAACATTGTTGAGGTGTGAATGGAATTGTGCTCTGATGTATTAGCAGGTATGTGACTGTTTTGTACCTCAGGGCCATCTGAAGAAAAAGAATTTTCTGAATAAGCACTGATAACTTCTTTTCTGTGATAACAGAGATAGAAGATACATTTCGACAGTGACTAAAATTTTTTAAGATTTTTTGAATGGAAATTTTATGTGAATACTTCCATGTTTATTTACTTGTTCTTAAAGAATTTAGTGTGAACATTTTGCTGTCAGTTTTTTTACTTGAATATTACAATGTTTAGAGTTTAATGTAAAAAATAATTACTACATTTACGGAATAGGTCAACTGATTTTTTTTTTTAATCTTTATTTCTGCTGGCATGTTGGACCACATCTTGCCAGAACTTATCATTCGAAGCAATTGGAAAATGCAATTTCAAAGCAAATGAAACCTGGAATTATCTATCTCAATAAATGAGATTCATTTAAAAATA